ATCAAATATAAACATCCAGACGCTATTGATGGAGAATGGTGATTTTTGTTTCGCTGTAGTCACCAACACAACACCATTAAAAGGTAATGTTATTTCATTGTGGTCGTAAGTATTACGTCCGCGGTGTTTCATCTATAGTTAAATTTGACTAAAATTAAAAAACTAGAGAAACAATAATTATTTGACACGATTGGACACATTTACTATGTATTTGATGTGACACTATTTATAGTCAAATTTAACTAGGTATGGAAGTATGAAACCACGGGGTCAAAGTAACATTGTCTATTTTGATTTACTCGGTCTTTGGAAGTTCCTTAACAATCGTGAATTTGACAGTGATGCTAAGCTCTCGGCTAAAAAACATAATAGGATCGAGAAAGTTCCTTTTAAAGCACAAACTCTAACAGCCAAAAGGCACCAAGAACAACAATTCCGTCCCCAGTTCACTAAGTCACGACAATTTGAATTTAACTTGTGCTGTTCGCCCGTGAGCAAGGCGAAACAATTCTCGCAATTAATTTTGAAGAATCGGCAAGATTTAATTTCTTTACGTACCTAGCTAAAGAAGTATTCCGATTCTGAAATTCGAAAGACAGTTAGAAAGTCCTTTATTGAGGTTTATTCTGGTGCCAATGGTTTCATGCGTGCCAATTTTTAGTTATTGTAATTATAAAAACAAGGATAATGGTGTCGATTCTGGCATGCTTCTCTAAAATTAAAACTCAATGTAACATCAGTCTCTCCTTTTCATTCTGTACACAGAATGACAGAGCTACACTATTTTCAAATTTAAGTTTAGGTTTAGAGAATCATGCCAGAATCGACACCATTGCCAGTTATGCCGAAGTGGTAATAACAATATTTGTTTCTTAGGTTTTCACGCACATCACTCATTAAATAAAACTAGTTTTTACGGGTTAATGCACGAAAACTTTATTTATTTATTGACGTTTCGTAGTCCTTACAGGCTACGTCGTCAGAATAAAACTTTTATTTAATTTGTCGAGCTACCTTCGAAAGACTTTTATTGAGCGTTTGGTTATTTCATTGTTCGATTTTTAAGTTTTATTGTCTATGTATGAATTTATTATTTAATTTACTTAAAAAGTATTTTATTTAAATTTCTTGTTTGTAATTTTGAGTTCATTTATTTGACCCGAACTACCATAAACTACCACCGGTTCCAAAATTGGGAGACCTTCCTGAGAAGAACCGGCGAAACAAACTCAAGAGAGGCTTTCTATCTCCTTCTTATGTTAAATTATGTAAACAAAAAGAACTAATAGTATCTGATGGTCTTGCAGTGTGACTTAATATTATAATATTTATTCAGTCCTTCATTTTCCCCAATGGTTTGCAACTGTAGCGAAATCACGACGAACAAAATTAAGACCTTCCTAGTACACATAAATATAAACTCGAGCTTATAGCCAGAGCTACATAAACTTAATTTTATTTTCATAGGTATGTTTAGTCGTAAGCGTTACACTGTGTCTCAGCGCTCATCAAACATTAGCACATAAGCATTATTTAACAAACATCTTAACATAATTATACTTTAAGAAAAAGAGTCAAGTGAGGATTAGCAATAAAAACTGCTGAATAATTTCGCAGGACGATAAGTGGGTATGGGTACAATTCAGAATATTAGTTAACTGGAGAGAGTTCATTTTGCGGGTGTAATCGCGCAGACCTGCGTGATCGTGAATTGGGTCCGTTCGCGGTTCGCGCGGTATCTTGCCATGACGCCGGAGAATATTACGATCCACTCGCCGTTTTCTGAGAATCACCCATTTAAAACTTTTTATTATTAATTTATTTACTTTTTTATTCACCTTCTTCATTTTTTAAATATAACTAGAGTTGAATATAATGTCTTTAAACTGTTATTATCTTGTATGTTTTTAGTTTTGTCGATATTCCATCCATCCATCCATCAGCCTTTTTCCGTCCACTGCAGAACATAGGCCTCCCCCATAGAACGCCACAATGCGCGGTCCTGCGCTATCCGCATCCAGCGGCTCCCAGCACATTTGAAGATCTCCTCAGTCCACCGTGTTGGGGGCCGCCCCACGCTGCGTCGTCCGGTACGTGGTCGCCACTCGAGGACCTTTCTTACCCAACGGTAGTCAGATCCTCGAGCGATGTGGCCTGCCCATTGCCACTTCAGCATGCTAACTCTTCGGGCTATGTCGTACACACCGGTCCTTCTACGGATCTCCGTATTTCGGATCTTATCACGTAGGGAAACACCGAGCATAGCCCTCTCCATAGCACGCTGCGCGACTTTGAGTTTTGTTATGAGGCCGACATTCAGAGACCACGTCTCAGTCCCATAAGTCATCACTGGTAACACACACTGGTCATAGACCCTTCTTTTCAGGCACTGGGGAATTTTGGCCGTGAGGATGTGCCTAAGCTTCCCGAACGCTGCCCATCCGAGTTGGATTCGTCGGTTGACCTCTTTCTCGAAGTTGGATTTGCCCAACTGGACTGTTTGTCCTAGGTAGACGTAATGATCGACAACTTCGAGAATCGCATTCCCAACAGATACTGGTGCTGGAGTGACATGGACATTGAACATATTTATTATATTATTAGTAGCAAAATCACAACACCGAAGAATAATATTGACTGTACTATTTTAGACGGGGGCAGATGCAGTGCCTAAAGCAAAGAATAAATTTTATCACGCACAGATCATACACTTACGCTATAATAAGTTTAAAAAAGCTAAAACTGTTACACGTTTTTAAATCAAACCCAAATATTAAGCCGGACAGGCTACTGTCTAGTTTGTCCGACAAGTGTCGAAAGAGCAAAACTATAATAATGTGCGGTAGTAACTAGACGCTTGCCAATCCTAGTCTCAGCAGGAGATTGAGAAAAATTCAGACGACTTTTTTTTATATTATCTAGTCGCATAAAACAGAACACAATTGAAACAATATATAATCGCAAGAAAGAACACAAATAAACAGAAATATACATATTTATAGAGTTTGTTCCCTGAGGGGTAAGTAGAAACAATTGATCTCCACTTGGTACAATCCTGACAGATATATGTCGCTTCCTCAACATTGATCAATTGCCGGAAGCAGCGTTTTTCGGTGCCGCAGTGCAGTGTGCAGTCGTCAATTTTGTTTTGTTTACAAAATAGGCTCGCTTGCTCTGTTGATTAGTTGATAACCAAAGTTATAGTATTGTGAGTGAACACAACGATCTTTCACATCAGTGCCTCTTCCAACTACATATATTGTAAGTGTAAATATCTTATAGTGATAGCATGTGGTCGTTTAACTAGTTTTCGGTAGGTTATGATGTTTTTACATTACCATAATAGCATAAAATCGACTAGTAGTGTCATTTTTGATCAGGCTTCTATGTATATCAATCTTGTCAAATATTCTAAATATTCTTAATATCCGTATTTTTTTCTCTGAATGGACGGTGGCGAATTTGACTTTTCAGCGACTCATTTTAACTGAAATACTTTAACTTTGTCATATTGATGGTTTCTACTGCTTTGACTGGTTTTAGCTGAAAATAAGTAGCAAATAAACGATGAAATCCGCGTGTGTGAGGATATCAAATAGGTTGAACGTCGGCCGGTAATCCGGCTTCGATTAGAACAATCTCTAGGAGAGCCTCCAGCTGCAAAACGAGATAGTGGCGAGCCTACCAGCTTATCCAACAATAGTTTTAACTCAATTTTGGTGCTTATTACGTTACTATAAGAGTTACGTAAATGGGACGCGCACCAATAGGCAGTTTAGTAATCACTGCCGTTTTTAAGGAGTGTGTTAGAATGTACCGAGATATAACTATCTCGGTTATATTCTTCTACAGCTTTTGTATGCGATTCAAAGTTCCTGCGCAGTTATTCGAAAATTGAATCAGCGTGCTAAGCAGTTTTATTGCAAAACAAATAAACATATCATATTGTGATATTGTAAGTAAAATGAGCGCCCAAGATGATTCCATTCGACGCATTTCCCTAAATTTTATGATTGGATTTATAAATATTTATCAGTATTTCTGTCTATTTTATATTAAGTTAATTTTTTTTCGTGTTTATTAACAATTTAAGAGATTTATTTCACTCGATAGATGGAGGAGAAAGACAGCGTTGTTACAGATACTTCCTTAATTACTAATGAGATACTCCTGAAGTCCTGACTACTGAAGAAAAGCTAACCTAGCAGATCTATGGCAGCGGTATGTATTCAGTGTAGAAACGGTAGTAATAAAATATACCAAATTATTAATAAACTAATTATGAATGTCTTAGCAGGTGTATAAAACATACACCTACTAAGACGTTCATAATTAGTTGGCCGTATAAAAAAAACAATTATGTCCTACATATAATTGTTTAATTTAATATTACTAGGTAAAATCTTTGGGTAAAATTACCATAAGTTTTTGTATTGTCATGTCAAACTAAACCCACATTTGACATATTTATAACGTAGCTACAAACAATGGCTTATCGCTTTATAAAGAGCGGAATACCAAATATGCGTTTAAATATATTTTTATATCTAAAAATTTTACTGGAAAATAATCAACTTAGCCAAGGCATCAGCATAATTTTCTCTGGAAAAAACATATCGTAAATATAATATGTCAAATCTTTATATGCTATTACTTTTTTCAAATATAACTAAGTACTACTAAAAGAACTCAAAAAGTATTGTAGTTAGTTAACCTGCAATCCAATTCTGTTTTTGTTCTACTCAAAAAAGAGATAAAATTAACCTTTTTCCTACTACCTATATAAATACATACATATAAAAAAATATAATATTTTATAAAATGTCATTAATATGACATTTTATAAAATATTATATTTTTTTGTTATCAGTCTGCAAAATATGTCGGAATAAAACAAATAAGGACATAATTATTTATTTATAAATACAAATAACATACATTTTGAAAAGAATATTTAAGTTGTCACAATTATCAACATAATTTTTTCCATCATCAATTGTTTCAATAGATGTTTAATTCAAAGACACGACTTATTTTTACAATAAAAGTGATTATAGCGACTTTGAATCACGTTTTTGTAACCAGACATGCTTATAAAATATCGCTGGCACAATCCCACCGATGAAAGGACCAACCCAATAAACCCAATGAGAGTCCCATTTCATCGCCCACAGAGCTGGGCCGAACGATCTAGCTGGATTCATACTGCTACCTGAAAGTGGACCTCCAGCCAACGCTAATGCCGATATAGTAAGAGCATATTTCAAAGGGACAGAATCTAGTCTACTCTCATTCACAGGATCCCATACTGAGCAATTCACCAACGATAGCGCTGCTGATAACATTATTTCCACACAAACTGCTTGGTAATTATTCAGCATCGGATGCGGCAGCGACACGCACACACCTTCTCCTGCCATATCAACTGGTGCAACAGCTACTAAGATTCCATATCCAGCGCAAGCCCCGGCTAATTCAGCTAATATGTACGCTATTCCAACGGATATAGATACTCTTTTCCACAGCACAGCTTGCACGGCTATGAAGGGATTCATCAGCGCTCCTGATATATGTCCAAAGATCTGTATGCATATCGCAATGGTCATGCCAAAGGTGAGAGCTGCGTACATCGGTGGATTGTGCGGCAGCCCCGAAATGGGTATACACGACATACAACCGAAGGTCACCAGAAATAGTGTCGCGACAAACTCGGAAGCAACTCCCTTCCATTGCGAAGACACCCATACAGCTATTGATGAGGGAGCCTTCTCAAAATGATTGGTTACAGCTTCAAGATTCTGTGTTAATGTCATTGTTCAAGAAAACTGAAGATTATAATTTTTGGATTATATTTTGGAATAATGATTCACTTTCACTTCGACTTGTTCACATAAAGGTTTTTATTGAATAATTAACAAGGTTTGTTTTTTTAAGACACGACACGACCGCTTTACTCTATGTAAATATAAAATTTGCTACAAACAAACCTAATTTTAGTCATATATTAGGTTTGCTCGTAGCGAAGATATTGTTTTTGTTGGCTACGAATATCTGAAAAGATTAGCTGTCAATTTTGAAGCATCAAGATATGGAAAACGGAATGATGTCTATAAGCCATAGGCTTTTATTACTAGGCACTTCAAGTACTCAGATATTAAATCGTTTTGATATTATTTCTTCAAAAGAAAAACTAACTACGATTTAGTTGTACCAAGTGCGTCAAGTACTTAGATACGAAATAATTGTGATACTATTTCTTCAAAAAGAAAATCAAATAACGATGTATGTAGTCTTTAAGGATCATGTCAAGCATCAATTGTGCACACCAATATAATAACACCATCTCATGGATTGCAGAAGAACAAATATTATTGTCGTGGTTTATGTTTTTTACCAACAGATCAAGCTGCAGGAGTGCTAATTTTAAAATTTCTGATGTCACCACTGGGAAGTGACATTAAACGTTTTCAAAACTTGATAATTCTCATGAAAGAGGACATTGAATCTAAGGCAGATAATATTTAAAGACACAATAAATTCATTGTACCACTCATAATATTTTTATTAACTTTAAGTTTTGTGAATCCCTCAGGAACCTTAATTATTTTCGGAATAAAAAATACTTGTCTTATGTCCGATATTTATTCATATGTGTGCCATATTTCATTCAAATTCGTTCAGCCATTTTTGTTTAATGTAGTAACAAATACACAAACACACACTTTCACATTTATGTTATTTAAGTAGGATTTCGAACTCTATTATTCTAACTTTCAGACGTTCAATCTTGCAAATGAAAAAATCTAAATTATTATGACAATGTCACAACGCCTGATTTATATTTATCTGATACAAAACTGACCGATAAAGGTAACAGTTACTACTTAAGCGGCTTATTACATTTACTGCAATGACAATGTTTAAAAACATTTGATATAACCTCATACGTACGTGATGGAATATCATAAGCTAGAAGAGGAAATGTAATATAAATATCACTTCAAACGTACATTCAATGCTACATGTAACATTGTCATCTGTCATAAATTAGCTTACATTCGTAACCAATAAGAAATTATGGGTTATTTTGATTTGAAAATTTCTGTTGTGTGTTAGTTTATTCGAAACCAGTCTCAAACACTCACTGTCATTCGAGCGAGTCATTGTTATAAGAACGTTTAAATAAATGACTCTTACTACAAGATTTTTTAAATGAAAAGCTTGTTCTTTCCCTGATACTCCCTAAATTACATACCAACGTTCCTTTTGAGTAAATTCTGCTATTCCGCAAAAAACATTACATTTTCACTGTTAAATTACAATTTTGGCTGAATTTCACTTCAGCAAGAAAAAAAATACATTTATATAGTTAAAATTACTAGCTTTACTTATTACCATATCTTGTTGTTGTTATTGTACATGTCAAACTAATCACATTTACATAGGTATTATTAACCTGTAGCTACACAATAGAAGCACATGAGTAAAAAGATTACAGAGACAAAGCTTCATACAACCGCGCTGCAATGGTGTTTCACTACTACAAGCACGACGCGCGTGTATACGCGATACGCGAGTGAGTGCTGGCTGCCCGTCACGTCGCAGTCACACGTCATGTTAATGCCAGTTCTCAAGTGCAGGGCTCGCAGAACACTCTCGAGGGAGAGACGAACTCCTTACCAATCCATGGATTCACCGTGCGGGCGCCAGGTCCATCGTGTGGGAGAGAGAGAAACTCTGAGCAGTTCCCGGTACTTGCGACCCAGGTGTAGGTTTATGTGTCTCTCTGTGGTGAGGGAAGTGACTGTGCAGTGTGACTACCGGACGCGTCCCCGGGGTTGCGGATAGGGGAACGCCCCCCACGTATTGAGGGTACCGGTTTCAGCCGGCGCGGACAGCAACTGCACGAGGTGGGGGCGATTGGGCCAGTGGCGCGCCCGCGCCTCAGTTGTGGAGGCCCTTTTTAGGGCCAGTGTACTTTAATAAATATGAGAAGTACAAGGAATGCAAAAAACAGCTATGCCAAATCATTTAAAATTACTACTAAAAAGTTACCTAAACCTACAACACACAAAGGCAAAGGAATAGGCAAAAAAACTAATATTAAAGAAAATCAAGATCCTAATCCTAAACCACCAAAAATGATTAAAAAAAAACGATCAAGTTCAACAACCAGTGTGTGTGGATCCTATAGTCGCCATAGTGACTCCGATATAGCTGACGTAAGTTCCGACTATGAAGATGACATTGAAGACTCGGAAATCAAAAAAATACTACAAAAAACTCAGAAAGACGTTAAAACTGAAAATAGTAGGTTAAATTTTAATTTAAGAATTAAAAATGAACTTAATTCAACCGGAACCGTGTATTCTATCAACGACCAAGTGTTAGTACGATACTATAATAGAAATAATTGGATATACTATGTTGGCATTATAGAGAATATCAATATTATAGATAAAGCGCTTTATTACTCGGTTAGATTTTATAAAACCATTAAAAAACCGCAACTAATGTTTAAAATAGGCAAGAATTATATAGATCGTGATGACGTTCCTGCCATATCTATAGTAAAAAAAATCAAACTATCCAATGCAAAGCAATTTTTAAACAGTTTTATTTTATCATATGAAGAAGATAAAGTCTATTTTAATTAAATTGCTATCGTTTGTTCCCAAACAAGTCGAAATAATTATTCTTTTAAAGTTTTTGTCTAGGTTTAAGAAATATTTTATGCCTTATTTAAGTTGAATTTTGAAAATGAGACTGATTAAGTTAATACAAAAAAATGGGTGCGTGTACTTATGTAGGCGCGTGAGAAGTTATCCTTCTTTGGCATCGTTTAAAATTAGTTTTTAATTGCATGCAAATAATTAATTACAATAAATTAATAAAAAGTCTGGAAAAGGACACAGTCAATAAAGTTCAGTTTTAATTTGAAAAAATAAATAAATGATCAAAATATTCAATTAAAATCGCTACTGAATATAATTTATTAGAACATATGTGATTTGCACTTGTATGAAACTCAAACACGTATTCCGAATATACAAACTAGAAACATGTGGATAAATATTATAAATATGAATACCTATACCTGTTGCTTTATTACAAAAAATAAAGATGTGGTTTTTGGTTCTACTACACCAATGGTCAAGAGATGGCGCTGTAGTCTCCTGAATCGCGCTTTGGTTCCGTTGTTCCAGATTAATAAATACTTTTGATAGGCCTTCACAATGCAGTCGTTAGCACCCACTAAATAGAGATTCTATTTCTATTTTGTTGGTAGATTTTCTTAATGTGCGGTAAACACAAAAGTAATATTTTGTGTTACAGTGATGCGCGCGCATCTTAAAATTTCACTCTCATCATTTTTTCATAACGCGCCTAAAGAAGTATAACTTCAAAAAGATTTTTTAACTAATGATAAATACGTTTATAATAAAGTCGTTAGTTCATTTCCTACTGTTTGTTGTAAAATTATTATTCCTAATAATGTTACTACACATTTAAGTTGAATTTTATAATGTTTTCTTTGTTTATTTGTTGTCTTAAATTTTATAAATAAGTCAATATAAATGTAGATTCAACCAGGTGCTTGAAACGTCATTGATCTACAATAAATGACTTAAAATTAAAATGTAAAGTTATTTTATTCCATTTCGTACATCGCAAGAACTAGGTTTTCTACCCCTGGCTTTGTCAGTATGCCGGAATAGCCCCGAAAAAATGTTTTTATGTTTAAAATGACATCTAGACTCTATTTTGATCTGTGTAGAACTCATTATTGACTGTCGTCCACCAACAAATAATCAACTTGGTGAATTCTTAAAATTGCTTGGAATTTCATAGAATTATCGCTATATGACGGAATTGCCCCCGAGTTGCGGGAAAATCCGTCTAGTGAGAAGGTTTTAAAAAAACGGCGTTTATCTCGAAAGCTTAATAGAGATTCAGATAAATTATACGTCAATAAAGAGTCACTTAAAATCCAATCTTGAAAGCCACATAATATTTGCCATTTATTTTAAGGTTTCTTTAATATGCTTGATCAAATTCAAGTTTTAATAAAGTATGCCGGAATTAGCCACCCTGACCTTATACACTTGTTTTTATGAGATTTACGACAAAGTGATTGATATGTTTACCTCTTTACAATCAACGTACAAAATGTAAGCTTCTTATGCTTGTCCCAAACGTTGAAGAATTTTATGGGGTGGTCATAATTGTTAGTATTTTCCAAGAAAGCATAATATAAATGTTATAGTTCTTCTACCTATGATATTCTTTCAAACGTTGTTATGCTAACTTTGTATTTTTTATCACGATTTACCTCAAAAAAAAATGTTAAAATGTTAAGATATAACAATACTAATTATTCGTAGGCACATACATTGTTCACCGAGGGACAAAAATCTACTATAACTTAGCGCTAATAACTGTAACAGTCTTAGTCATGGTTCAGAAATAAAGATTATTATTATTATTATAACTTCAATGACTTTATGAATTTTGCCAAAAGGATTTTACCAAAGTCATATCAAGGAAAGGCCAAGTCGGACGTGACGTAAGATAGTTGTCGTATATCCAAACTTTTTTAATATTTCTTAATGTTTGTTGATCTACCATTTAAGTCATTTAGAAAATTATTGACAACTGCCTCTAAGGCTGGAGTACGTCCTTTGTGATCAATCTTTCTATCTGGAAATTTGAAAGGCGCAGCTTCTGCAATCGTGGTAACACATTGTCCTCCTATTGAGAAATCGAGATCGTAAAAGATATATTTGGTGTCTCGTCTACCCAGCCATAGACAGCAGCAGTCCTCAGTCCATCAGTCCATGCACAGTACTCGTCCACTTAAATTAATATTTTCTGAAATTGTTTAAGATTACTTGTCAGTATTGCGAGATCGTCTGCAAGAGCTAAGATGGACTCTGTGTATTTATTGTTTATTTTTGACCGATATCCCCATTTTTCTCATGACTTATCACCTTGCCTATAAGAATATTTATAACTAGCTTTTGCCCGCGACTTCGTCTGCGTGTAATTCGAATAAAAGCAAGGTCTTTATGTATCAATAACTGGTGCCCGCGACTTCGTGTGCGCAGTATTAGTATTTCGAGTAGCTTATATTAGCGTGAAAAGAACTAACATTATGACATTAAAATTATAACATACATAGCGATGAGCGACTTCTCCTCCCACCTCACCGCGACCGACCCCGCTCCATTGGCCCGCCGCGCCGCCCGTCGGACCGTAACATACCATAGTATCGCGCGTTCGGTTTGTCATCGTCGTAACTATTAAAATATTTGTCCAAATGATGTATTGTGAAGGACAAAATTTATCTCCTTTAAATACCAAAAGCGATAAAAGTATTCATTTTGATAAGGATCCATTTATTACTACCAAATGTGCATTAGAAATAAATTATCAATTTTTATTGTATTTATGGTTCACTATTTTGACAATAATGGCTTACTCATAAAAGATAGATATATATGGTGTCGCAGAATTTTTTGTAGGACTATTTAAGATAAATATTTTCACCATACATTATATACATGTAGCACTAACTGTTTTTGCAGCACACGCCTGAATAGCTCGCAGATTGCAGAATTTTTTCAGACTTAAAAGACATTTATCGTTATATTTTGGACAATTCACACAATATCTTTATAAATTATAGCCTATGTGTTATTCTGATCTATAAGCTACATTACTGTAAAGTTTCATTAAAATCCGTTTAGTAGTTTTTGCGTGAAAGAGGAACAAACATCCATCCATACATCCATCCAAACAAACTTTCGCCTTATTTTATACTTACTACCTTATTACTATAATATTAGTAAGGATTATATTAAATACTATTGGTGACAGGCAGCAGCCCTGAAACAGCCCTACATTAAAATGCAATAGTTTGTGTTCCTTGTTTGCTGCTATGACAAATTGTAATTGTAAGTTATATGATATTTATATTTATTTATTTATGATGTGATCATGTCGATGACTACAGAAGGAAAGTTATACCACTTCAAAGCGGAGATCATTAGTTCATGCTGTACCGAACCAAATGCATACACGATGACCTAGAAAACAGGTCTATCGAGCAGACTGTTATTTGTGTCTCATGTATTCTGGCATCTTTTAAACTTTCCGCTGCTAATGTGTTGTGTTCGTTCCTTAGTAATATGTGTGTGCTTGTTATGTGATTATTACACCTGCATAGAAAAATACGGTACCTTTTAAATCAGATGCCAATGCAATATTTTGATTTCATGTAGCCAATCTGAAGCAGGAGTCTGGCTGGTAATTTCCATGATAATTATTTAATAAAACAATGCAACCATATCGCGTAGCATATGCGCGTATAAGCATATGTTTAATTTGGCTTGACACAAATTTCACGAATATTTGTATCTCGAAACAAACACTGCCAATATTGATACTAAAACGCTTACATGACACATTTGATATGCAGTTTAGTGCTTTACACTACTTTATTATAATTTAATAGATTACTTAAAAAGACTTATACGTGTTATAATAAGAATTAACATTCAATTAAAAGTAAGTGCTTGCAACATATTATGGATGAACAAAAATATATATAAAAAAACAGATTAATAGTAAGCACGTAGGTATATTGTTCATATCGCTAATAACATTTACACGGTCCTAGACTACTAAGGTTTTAATGCTAAATAGTTATATTGTATACTTGTCCTGGTTCAGAAATAAAGATTTTAAATATTATTAAAAATACATTACTACTTACTTAATCAAAATATATTTGAAACGTTTTGTTGAAATGTATCCTCCGTTAACCCTACCAAAAAAAGGAAAAATGCCGCCCGCTCTATAGAAGCTTTGTCTCTGTACATGTCTATATTGACTACACATGTGCTAGTAGGGCAGAACTCCAAAGACGGCATGATATTAAACTGTTTAAATATCATTCGATAACTAGGAAATACACATCATTACGCCATATTGTGTTTTGTTTTTATCTAAAACTTGCCCTCTGTAGTTTTTTGTATAGCATTTAACACCTATATGTTAAAAATCTACGTATTTACTTATACCTGTAAGTTTTACTTTTGAAATATTTTTCATTTTCATGTAAATTTTTAATATAAACTTATTCTTACACGCTATAAAAAAATAAATACTACATTTATTGTTCTCACAATATTACTTCATTATGACACTTTTGAATTATTCTTCATTAACCATATGTACTTATATAAAATCGCAGGCGCAATGCCACCGATGAACGGACCTACCCAGTAAACCCAATGAGAGTCCCATTTCATCGCCCATAGAGCTGGACCGAACGATCTTGCCGGATTCATACTGCCACCTGAAAGTGGCCCTCCAGCCAACGCTAAAGCTGATATAGCAAGAGCATATTTCAATGGCACAGAATCCTGTCTACTTTCATTGACAGGATCCCATACTGAGCAATTCACCAACGACAGCGCTGCCGATAACACTATTTCCACACAAAGTGCTTGGTAATTATTAAGCATCGGATGCGGCAACGACAAGCACACACCTTCTCCCGCCATATCAACTGGAGCGACAGCCACTAAAATTCCATATCCAGCACAGGCTCCTGCTAATTCAGCCAAAATGTACGCTATTCCAACGGGTATGGATACTCTTTTCCACAGCACAGCTTGCACTGCTATAAAGGGATTCATCAACGCTCCGGATATGTGACCAAAAATCTGTATGCATATCGCGATAGTCATGCCAAAGGTGAGAGCCGCGTACATCGGAGGGTTGTATGGTAGCCCCGATATGGGTATACATGACATACAACCGAAAGTCACCAGAAACAGTGTAGCAACAAACTCGGAAGCCACTCCCTTCCATTGTGAGGACATCCATGCAGCAGTTGATGACGAAGTCTTCTTTAAATGATTGGTAATAGCTTCAAGATTCTGCAGGAACGTCATATTATACAAGAATTCTGAGAATAAAAAATGTTAATATGTTGGTACACTCTCACTTTGACTCGGTGTTCACGGTAGTGTTTCAAATGTTTATTTAATACTATGTTGTTCCTATTTAGAGTAGACACGACTGCTTTACTGGATATGATCATAAAAACTCGCTACGAGCAAAGCTAATTTAACTTACAACAATACTCATCCAAATGATAGACAATAACATGTAATGGATAGTTTTTCATCCGTTACACTGGTAAAAAATCCTTTTTATGTTTTTACCTCAGCTATCATATTTTTTTTTGACAGTTGGATAACTACATAATATATACTTGCTTCTTCCTATATTAAACATGTTTTTGTTGAAAATTGTCAGTCGGTAACGCTATAAGGGTTTTGGATCAAATAAAAAATGCCTTTAATTTTGAGTAATGTTTCCCTAAGGATCACCATCGATGAATTTCGTACAAACAAGTTCACTGAAAACCTAAGTGATATTGGTGATTGTCCACATAAGTATTCTTCTAACGTTGAGGCAGAATCAATTAAGCAGAAGAAAATAGAAATATCAGAATGTGGAATTTGGTAAATTATTATTTATTAATAATTCTCACTCTATGAACGGTACACGGAAAAAAACTCTAAATTTGAGAGACTACGGCCACGGTAATATTATATATATTATTACCGTGCTACGGCGGATCATATGATTAGGTAGTCAATACATAAAACAGAAAATTAAAAGAAAACAGAAGATACAATACTTAAGACTTCGTTAAGACATTATTGCTAAAAATCGAAAGAAGGTTTTATTTCATAAAAAAAATCAAGTCACGTCACGCCTGTTTTCTAGACTGAAGCAAATGATCTCCACCTCAGAATGGTGACTATAACAACACTACCTACAGTTCCAACCTGAGGTTCTGATAGATGAACATCAAATAAATAATTTCACTTGTAACCTATTAAAAAAATAAATACAATAATAATACTATTGTACAATTAAAGAAAATATAACTAGAAAAAATTCCACGCGGACCAGGCAGCAGACGGGACGTCCCGTCTGCTGCCTGGTCCGCGTGGAATTTTTTCTAGTTATATTTTCTTTAGATTTAAACATCAAGCAGTTACATGCTTTAAAAATAATAAAAATTATAACTATTGTACAATTGTAAAAAACATTTGTTTTGGAGACGTAGATATTTTTTTTCAACCACTGTTATCACAACGTTTTATTGAATTGTACAAAAATATTTGACCCAACAAATACATGACGTTCCAAGTGCCAAGCCCTATTTAATATATAATACAAAATACACACACATAGCTTACACGAATATGAGTAACCTTTTTCGCCATTTCATTTCCCAATATCTACCGTATTATGTACGCAAACATAAAAAAATGTTGTTTGATTTCTCCTTCTAAAGTAAAGAATCATCGCGCCTACCTGTTCACCAAGAAACGCCGCCGGTTTGATTTATTGCTCAGAAGAAATTTTGGTACAGTAAGTTACTGTTATGACGAGTTGATGCTAAAGTACTTTTCAAACCCCTAGTATACCCCCACCACATAACGCGCATCGATAAATTTTCATATTTGTAGCGTTAAGTACAAATATGAAACTACTACTATGTTACTCTTAAGAGTAACTACCTATTTTTTGAAGTTATACTTCTTTAGGCGCGTTATGAAAAAATGATGAGAGTGAAATTTTAAGATGCGCGCGCATCACTGTAACACAAAATATTAACAGCATTGCAAAGTAACAGTTATAGGTATTCATATTTATAATATTTATCCACATGTTTCTAGTTTGTATATTCGGAATACGTGTTTGAGTTTCATACAAGTGCAAATCACATATGTTCTAATAAATTATATTCAGTAGCGATTTTAATTGAATATTTTGATTATTTATTTATTTTTTCAAATTAAAACTGAACTTTATTGACTGTGTCCTTTTCCAGACTTTTTATTAATTTATTGTAATTAATTATTTGCATGCAATTAAAAACTATTTTTAAACGATGCCAAAGAAGAATAACTTCTCACGCGCCTACATAAGTACACGCACCCATTTTTTTATTACATATAACATTCATTATATAAATACATATGGTCTTTAGCAAGTTATCGTGTGTGATAGATCAATAAAAAACAAACAAAATACATGAATCTAGTGCTTGGTGGATAACGGACCCAGCGCGGATTGGTGGGTGATAACGGACCCAGTGCGGATTTGTGGATGATAACGGACCCAGTGCGTATTGGTGGGTGATAACGGACCCAGTTTGGAGGGGAATAACAGACCCAGCGCGGATTTGTGAGTGACAATGGACCCAGTGCGGGTTAGAGGGTGATAACGGACTCAGCGCGGATTGGTGGATGATAACGAACCCAGCGCGGATTGGTGGGTGCTAATGGACCCAGTGCGGATTAGAGGGTGATAACGGACCCAGCGCGGATTGGTGGGTGACAATCGTCCCAGTGCGGATTGGTGGGTGATAACGGACCCAACGTGGATTGGTGGGTGATAACGGACCCAGTGCGGATTGGTGGATGATAACGAACCCAGTGCAGATTGGTGGGTGATAATGCACCCAGTGCGGATTAGAGGGTGATAACGGACCCAGCGCGGATTGGTGGGTGACAATCGACCCAGTGCGGATTGATGGGTGTTTGTACGAGTTTGTAAGGTTAACGGTTTTCAACACATTTGCGAGAAAACAGTATAGTTTTTATGGAATGAAGCAAACTTTTTCTAAGACGAAAATGGCGCGCATTTCCACGTGGCGCCACGTTTTAGTGGTGAAAATTAGTACAACACCTTTCGGCTCTTTTTCTTTTTTAGCATTAAAGTGAGACAAACCTATACATCAACAGCGATTCCAAATACAAAATTCCAATAACAGCTCTCTAGTGCAGTCGAATAGATAAATAGAGCAGTAGTCTCCAAGCTAAACCAGGGACGGACATGATGAAACTATAAGGGTTCCTTGCCAGGACTACGGAACCCTAGTAAAGGATACGCATGGTGCCATACACTGGAGCGTGTGGTAAAATGTTTACCGCACGCTCTGTTGTATGGTGCGTGTTTTTAAACTTTCGAACAATGTATACAATTTCCGTAAATGAATAATGAAAAACAGACTTCAGAATCGAAAATGGAACTAAAAATAAAAAATAAAATCCGGTTTATGGTTCGGGAGTCGGGCGGGGGTCAAGATTGATACACCTATACCGATTAGAAATGCAAATCTATTCCATGTTTCAATCTTAGCCCCTTAGTTACATTACTTTTCAGTTCCATTTTGAAGTCGGTTTTTAGTTTTTGTTTACTTTAACTTGCATCTTACAACACTATAACCATCTTACTAGCTTATACCTATCGAGGAAATTTGAGACGCAGAGCTTAATAATGGTGTTTGTCGGCTCAGCGGCAGCGGTCCTAGTTGTCGATTGAATTTTCTTCATCTCGGGTGAGTAGAGTCAACCTCGTTATAAATGAAGTATGCCTCCGGAGTAAACAGGTTCAGACTCTGTTGGCTTTTTATTTTCTCCGGTAATTGGATCCATCGACACGACCGCGGTGATAGTAATGGACATATTTTTAATGAATATTTCAAGTCTCTTCGTATCGTCAAACCAAATGTATTAAAACAAATACTGGCCAAGCGTGAGCCGAACTCGCACCTAAAAGATCAGGCGCGGTCTCAGCCTGAAATTTTGGAGGGGGTCACTCACTACACTAATAAAAAATAGGTATCTGGAATAAAATAAACATTATTGCACAAGACACAATTTAGTTTATACATTACTCATAAAATATTGTTATACAATTTTCATCATAACAACGCATATCGATTTTGCTAGGATTACCAAAACTACGTAGTTTGTTGTTTCTAAACTAAGTAGTACTAGATGTCATTTCCAAGTTATTTTGGCCATCGTACGTAGTTCATAAAAACACCACTAAATGTCAACAAACTATAAATTTATCGCTGTTAGGGGATAGCTAGAAAATTCCTTTTATTATTTGGCAAATTTTTGAGATTTTTCAATTTGACCTTAGATTTGGGGGGGGGGGGGGGCATGTCCTCTGTGACCCCACCCTTCGGACCGCGCCTGTAAAAGATTCTTTAGATCTTTTATAAAAGAAAGAGATGACCTGCGGTTTCATATGCATTAATTTGAGGAAAAAGGTTCTGTGCCGGCTTTTTTCATAGAACTTTTAAATGGGAATCTTTCCACCATACATGATTTTTGTGTAACTTTTACCGTTGAAGCAATGCAAGCTCACAAATGGAATATTTTTTCCCGGTTTTGCAACATTTTTCATTGGTTTGTTTTCCACTCCTATAAGTCGTAGCGTTATGTCATATAGCCTATAACCTTCCTCGATACATGTACTTTTCAACACAATAATATTTTTTCAAATTGGATCAGACCAGATCTGAGAATAGCGCATTCAACCAAACAAACAATCAATCAACAAACTCTTCAGCTTTATAATAATATTATTATGTAAGATTGAATAAAAAACTTCCAAAACTCCGTTATAATTTTAATTTTGAACGTAAACAGCGCAAAAATTCCACCTTCGAGCTTCAAGCCTCGGCAATATTATAGAATACTTTTGAAACACAAACATTTTGCTTACCATTGTTAATAAACCTTTTGTCAAATTCAAGTTGAGCGTGGTAAACCTCTTACATACTTAATTATAATTTTACCGAGAGTTTCATGTAGTGCCTACTGAGGCGGTCACGTTCGGGGCGGGTGGGGTGCTAATATTTGTATAAATATAAACTTTGCTTATGGTGAATTCGTTTGATCATTTATTTATACTCCAGTGCCTTGTGGTCGTTCTTAGTTGACATATAATTTATTATGACTTAAGGGACGCATCAGACATATATATATCTATTTTTATTGGTGAATAAATATTGCAGGCAAATCAAACTGTGATAAGAGCTTAATTAATTTGATAAAGTACTTAAATGCTTAAGACTTTAACTGCGTAAAACAATTTTGCTGCCATGGCCTATTTAGCTTCCCCTTATCATTCTATTTTTGCGCTCTAATTAATGTATCT